GCCCGCTGTTCCCGGGAGCCCCAATCCCTGCCTGCGGAAAGTGCCCCGCTGGCCGGGAGTGCGGAGGCCGCGCCTCAGGAGGAGGGGATCCAGGCACCCCTCGCCCCCAGGGGCCTTGCCTCGTCTCCGCGGATCTGGCTGTGGGGCTGGCCCGGCTCTGCCCGCCGCATGCCAAGGGGCTGATCCCATGCCCTGCTTCTGCGGGCTCTCCGTGCAGCGTGTGGCTATTTCTGCACCAGTGGGGCAGAAAGACCTTGGCCCTGGAAATACCCGCAAGTGGGGAACGTCCGAGTCCCACATGCCGCCCCAAACGTGGAGCGCCGGCCGTCCAATGTGAAGGGCAGCACGACTCCATGCAGAGCCCTTGAAGTGCCCGCCAGGGGCCTGAGGGTCACCTCCCCCCCAGCAGAACCTGCGGGGTTCTGGATCCAGTGGGACCGTTATGCTGCAGAGTAGGGACTCTACTCCTGAGTCTGTGGCCCCTCCCTTAATTAAAAAAAGCAACTTTCTAGTCCCCATGCTTTGAAATCTCGTATGGCCAACACGGACTGGCAGGAAGGGCCACCGTCCCCAAACATGACGCTTTTAAAAACTAAAAGGTTTTCTTCCCTCTCCAGCAGTGACCCAAATGAATCCACAGAATAATGTTTTGCTTTCTGCTACCGTTTGTGCGGCTCGGATAGCAGGAGGAAAAACAGCTTTCTAGGTTTCTTGTCCATCTATCCCCCAAAGCAATATGTGGGAATTTTTACCAGCTTACCTGGAGTGAGGCCCTCCCAGAGGCCGTGATGCCACATGTAATTCATAGCAATAAGGAAAAAAACAATGAGCAGCTTCTATTTATTAATAATAGCACATCACGGAAAATATTTTTCATATCTGCCTTTCATCAAAGAAGATTTTGAGCTGTGTACAACATATGGACATTGTAACTCAAAACTGTAATCTCAATAAAATATTCCTCAGTAAGAGCATCACATCTTCCTTCTGCAAAAGAAAGGACAAACCCCTAAAACTAACTTTTATATATCAGTGTCGTTCAGGAAATTCCAAGCGTTATATGTTTCCCCATTCTGATTTGTCAGCCTTGCAAGGTAGGCCAAACTGAGAGCGAAAGAGCAGCCCAAAACCACCCAGCAAGCTTCATAGCTGAATATTGAAGTTCCCACCTTTCTTCCAAGGCTCTCGGCAATCTGCCGCATCATCAGGCTTCCTTCCCTCTTGATCCTCCCAACACCCCTGCAAGGTAGGCCAGCCTGAGCCGACACAAGCCATTATACTATGTGAGCTCTTGACACATGCGCCCCCCTCCAACAAACCCTTTCCTGGAAAGTGGACCAACTCCGTCAGGGTTCTGCTTTTCTCAGAAGATTTGAGAAGTCGGCGCTTGAGTTTTTTCCTGGAGATTGGGCAGGTCCTGTGCATTTCCTGTGTGGAGCGTTAAGCTTCCTCCCCTTCCCATCCCAGAGAAACTCAGAGGTCCTGGGACTTGTCCTTTGCAGCGCAGTCTGCACAAGCCCAGCTCCGGATATGCCTCAAGAAGGATGAAAAGACGACAGGCCACAGTCCCTGATTCCGCCATCCACATCGCCTCCTTCTTGGGCTTGGATGTCCCAGAGAAAGTGGCCAGAGTGGGCATACACCCTGGGCTGTTCCTCCTCTAGAACCCGTAGCAGCTGCCCCAAGGTGGAAAGAGGGGTTTCGGGTGCCTCCGAATGTCCCACGGGCTCCGTATCCGCGCTCCGTGGCTCACGGCAGGATTCAAGCCCTGCCGCGCCGGGCAGGGAAACGTCACGCACAGGGCTCTCCTCGGAAGACTGGCCTCTCCCCACGGAGACAGGAGACTGGGGCAGATACTCCGTCTGCTTCTTCTTCCCAACGGGAATGGGGGGCGGTGGGGCAGCTGGAGGAGACAGGGGGCTGACGGCCTCCGTGGACACCTGCACCTTGATGTTGTTCTTGAAGTGCTGCCGCCGGATCCCCATGTCTCCACGCGTCGTCCCTTCGGGTGGAGGGCCTGGAACGCCCGGGGTCGGGGTCGGCCTTCCACCAGCCTCCTCGGAGCTGCTGTGCGGGCGGGGGTCACGGACGGGGTGGGGCAGAGGGTCTGTGGCCATCCTGGACGGGGTCACCGGGGGTCCGGCAGATTCCTTCGTATTGAGAGATGAGTTCCAGAATTCTAGGAGTGGGGACAGAAGAGGCAAAAGCGGCTGAGACGGCTTGGGGACTGCGGCTCTTTCCCCCTTGTTGCTCGGACAAGAGCGCGCAGCTTGCGACACCCTCCCTTACAAACCCAGAAGGGCTTTGCAGCGAAGAACGGGCCATCACGTCATCGAGGGAGATCAGACCGGGGAAGGGCCTTACCCGTGGTGGCACCCCGGCTGTGCAATGGGCTCCCCAGATAGGAGGGCCTGGCCCCAACCCTTGTTTCATCTCCATGCCAGGCCGAACACTTTTTATTTTCCCATTATTTTAAATGTCAGTGGTGCTTTAAGACTGATTTTACATATTAGTGTCTGGATGCTGTATCTTATTTATTTATTTTATTGTATCACTGCCCTGAGACACTGAAGGGCAGGATATAAAAGCTATAAATGAATGAAAGGTGATGCACTGTAGGAATGTGTGTGTGTGTGTGTGTGTGCGCGTGTGCGCGCGCGCGCACGCGCGCCTGTGTGTGTTTGCCATGAAATGTGGGGTTATTTATCCTATAAATAAATAAGTCCAGGATTATGGGAGCTGGAGTCCAAAACTCCAGGACAGCACCAGGCTGCCTTCCCTGGATATTCTGGCTGCTGCAGAGAGAAAGGAGCACGTGGGCCACGGAGTGGACCGCCCTGCCCACCGGCATCAGCTGCCGTTCCCCCTTCTTCGCTGAGCCTCGCACAAGCCTCCGCTTTCCAGAGCAAAAGAAGGGAACGGAATGCATGCAGCCGGCCTCGCGGGCCGTTCTGTGTGCGTGTGAATGGCGACGAGAGAAAATCGAGAGTGTTTTTTGTCTGGGACGCAGGAGGATGGTCCAAAAGGTCAAAGAGCAGATGGGCCGGGGGGCGAGTCCAGGCACCGCTGGAAACGTTTCGACAGGCTGTGCTTCGGCAACACAGCCAAGTTGGCACCACTCACCCAGTCCCAAATGCGCGATGGCTTCCAGCTGTTGGCAAGATGAGGCTTCCCAGATGGGCCGTGGAAGACGCAGGGAGAGAGGAAGGACGTCCCTGCAGAGCAGAGCAGAAAAGGGACACGTGTCACTTTTAACACACTTAGTATCGTCTGCAAATTTGATCAGCAGACTGTTCAGCCCTTCTTCCATGTCACTCATGAAAAGATGAAACAGGATCGGCCACAGGACAGAGCCCTGGGGGACCCCACTTGTCCCTGGCCACCATCCCGACGATTCCCCGCTAATGGTTACCCTCTGCTTTCGGTCAGTCAACCATGCCCTAATCCACCGGACAGTGCTTTGGTCTACCCCAAAACTCCCCAGTTTCTCCACCAGGATATCATGGGGCACTTTGTCAAAGGCCCTGCTGAAATCCAGGTAAACCACACCCACTGCACCCCCTCCATCCAGCCACCTCGAAACCTTGTTGTAGAATCTCACAAGGTTTGTCTGGCAGGGCCTGTTTTTGCGGAAGCTGTGTTGTGTGGCTCTCAGCCTCCCTTCCCTATCTAGCATCGCTAGATCTCTCACTATTATGAGCCTTTCCATTGTTTTTCCTACTATGGACGTAAGGCTAACCAGTCTGTAATTCCCCATGTCGCTTCTACTACCCTTTTTGAAAGTTGGGACCACTGATGCCGCCCTCTAGTCCTCTGGAACTTCACCCGTTCTCCACGAGGCCTCAAAAATGGAGGCCAGAGGGCATGAGAGAACCCCGGCCAACTCTCTAAGTCCTCTCGGGTGTAACCCGTTAGGGCCTGGCGCCTTTGTAATGTCCAGTGCCCTGAGGAGCCCCTCGACTTCAAGGGGGGAGACTCTAAGCTGTGCCCCTAAGTCCCCGGCCTCATCTCATCTCCTATGCGGGTCTCCCCCGTCCTGCTTTGGGAAGAACACAGAGGCAAAATAGTCATTCAGCCTCTGTGCCTGTTCCCTCTTATCAGTCATATCAAAATGAGCGTAGGATGAGAAAGGAGACGCAACTGCTGATCGCATGATTTTCACTTACGGGGATGAGCAGTACGAAGCAATCAGGTGGAGAAGGCTTGGGAAAAGCAGCTCCGAGCCATCCAGAGAGACGCCTAGAGAAAAGGCAAGCTCAGTGAAAACACAGCACGTGACATGAAAACCCGAGGGTTAAAGACCCCATAGGCCAGTGACGGCAAACCTTTTCGAGACCGAGTGCCCAAACTGCAACCCAAAACCCACTTATTTATCGCAAAGTGCCAACCCTGCAACACAACCTGCAAACTGAGGTTTTTGTTTAGAAAAAACAACTCATGGCCAGTCCAAGTAGATATATATTTATACATCCTTGGCAGCGCACTGCCCGGCCATGCGGAAGCTCGGACGAGTCGTGGCTACGGAGTCACGGCTCGTGACGCCATCGCCTGGCGCCGCTGCTCCTTTCCGAGCAGGCGCGTGGCCCCTCTGCACACTGCTATCCGATGCTCGGCCGCCGGGGCGATGCCGGGGCGACTGGGCTCACGTGCTGACAGGGGGGCTCTGCCTGCCCGCGGTGCCACGCGGGCCACGGGTCTGCCACCACTGCCATAGGCTGTCGAGGTGGAAAACACGGGCACAGTGCCTCCGGGCTCCACCTCCCCTTCCGCTTTTGATCAGCAACCCATGAATTCCTGAGCATGTCCTCTAAACTTGGATCACCGGGTTATGACAGGGAAAAGCAACTCAGTGGTTACCCATGGTTTGTTGCTGGGTTAACCACTGGGTTGTTTTAACTGCTGGACCAATTATCCCAAAGCAAACTGGCCGTCCGGTATTCCTGAGCCCAAGGGGAAGCAGGTGGCGGACACCAGCTTGCTTTCTTTTGCTCAGCCCGCGTGGGCTGGCTGCGAGGCTGCAGCTCGGCTGCTGGGAGAAGCCCTCGCTTCACTCGTCCAATTCCTCCTCTGCCACCCACCTCGCCGGCCACCCGGCTGGTTCTCCAATCCCCCTTTTCTAACCCGCCCTCCGAAATGCAGGGAAGCCACACCGACCTTACCTGTGCGCCCCTGGTGCAGGCAGTAAGTCGTGACAAACGCTGGGGATGAATCGTCCGGGAGGCGTAAACAGAGAACCTGGCATTGCCGCGTATTTGATCTCCGCACCAGAAACGTCTGTGTGGGGCAGAGGTTGGAGGGGGGCCAGATGGAGAGGAAAAGGGGGGAGGGATGGAGCCAGGGTGGGCAAGATCAAGGAAAGAGGGGTGGGAACATTAATGCTCTTTTAAAGGCCCAAATACTGCAGTGCATAGGATAAAAACACTCTTACTCCGATCCTTCCCATCCTCTGAGCATAACCAGAACTGCCTCCTTTTCAACAGGGTTGCCAACTTCTTATTTCTTTGGGGGCTCATAAGTTTTTAAAGACACCATGTCAGGCATGTTTCAGCACCTGCACGGCTTGGGGCCAGGTAATCTGAAGGAAGGGCTTGCCCCTTATGTACCTACCCAGACCCTGAGGTCCTCTTTGGGGGTCCTTCCCCAGGATCCACTTCCAAAGGAAATGAGGCAGGGGCTACTGACAGGAGGGCCTTGTGGTGGCGGCGGCACCCTTTTTGGAAAGCGCTCCTCAAGGAGGTAGACCTTTCTATTTTCCCAGTATTTTAATAATTTAACTTTCAAACTTTGTCTTTATACATTCCATTTTGTTCTGTACCGCTGTTATGTGTCTATGCCAAATTATGGCGGCTGTTTTATTCTTTCACATCAATGCGTGTGCCTTTTTTAACTTTTTTTAAAATAAGTTTTATTGTTATTTTTCTATTAACTAACAAAAACAAACTAAAAACCATCAAAAGCGGCAGACCTACTGGGTCAGCCCCCCCTTCTTTTTCTTTTTATAGTAAGCCATAAGCATATTTAAGGCTGCGCATAGTCCCGTTTCTCTAGCCAATAATAAAAGGAGTTCCAAATTGGACAGAAGTCTGTATCCTCTTTCTCCTTCAGAGACACAGGCCATCTGTCCATTTCGGCACAACGTTCGTTTGACTTTGGTAGCTGCACAGAGAAGCCCCGGCTACTGGGAGGCGTAGGAACGAAACAAGCCAGCGAACGGGCGCTGGGCGCCTTCCTTGTCCTTACCCCCGCAGGCTCCCGTTGCAAGATATGGAGCGCCGTGGCCGAGTTGATGCCGAACTGCAGCCAGACGGGCTGGGTGAGCCGGAGCCTTCCCACGAGGCTGACCTTGCGGGGAGACGCCACCGCTCCGTGCCGGGGGTTGGCGTAGGGTTCGGGGTAATCGTAGACTGGATTGCGAGTCATCCTGGGCTGGGACGGGAGGCAGACTATCTCGGAGTCCAGCAGAGAGGGAAAGGGGCGTCAGCGGCAGGGGCGCCGGCCTGGTTTTAGTACGTTATGTTGTAAGTGTATAAGATACAGTTCCTGCAAGGGGAAGGAAATTCGGCATTTATCAGCTCCTCAAAGGACGGAAGACAACTGACATGGCTACACCCCGCCTGTTTCAAAGTCGCATCCAAAGCCATTTCTGGGAAGAGAATTCCCCCACCTCGCATTTCCAGATCGGGGTCGGACGAAGGGGGAGCCAAACCACAAAGCTTCCCTCCCACTCCACACAAAACGGAAAAATTGGGAGAACAAGGTGCTTGGCTACAGTGGTCCAAGGAGGCAATGAAAGGCAGGGAGAAAAGCCTGCAATGGGAACGAATACATTAAAAATCCTTCTTGAACAAGAATGTGCCTGCAAGTTCTTGAGCGCCGAAAGATCCAGGGCTCAGGCCCAAAGGACAAACGATTGTGTGTTTTGCCTGTGCCAATGTGCACACGCTCTGAAGTCTTTCTGTGTGTCTCTCTGGGTGGAAAAGACGGGATGAAAGGAAGGGACACTGATGGAAAAGAGGGAGAGGGGACACAGAGGGATGAGAGCAAAAATCGGGAATGGAACATCCCCATCGCCAGTGCGTGAGTGTGCCTTTATCGCTGGGTGGCCAGGGACAGACATCAACAAACCCCTGGGGGTTTTGAGCTGTTCGGACCACGCCATGGGCCCCCAACGATTCACCTGCTCCCGCCGGCTGCCACTCGCTCGCTCGGTGGGCAGAGGGCCGGGGATCGAGGAGGCCCCGGCGTCCGCTCTTCCGCTCCCTCTTCTCCACAGTGGTTGGGGCCAAAGCGAGAGGCGAGCGAGCCTGGAGTTGTAACGTGGAAAAGAGCCAGACCAAGGCAGTCTTCCATCTGTGGGCCCCCGCTTGGGTTTGGGCTCTTGGCCGCTGCCCAGATTTGCCAACCCTCGGTGCCAGTGCTGCAAGGGCTGTGCAGATGGTCCTAATGCTGGGAAACTGGTTTGAAGGTGCCGCCGCCACAGCAAATGTAGCCTGGAGATGTGGCACAGCAGGCAAGCAGAAAAGAAATCAAAGGCCGTGTGTTGGGAGCTCGCAGAGTGGTTAGGGAAAGCAAAGCAGGCTGGAAGTCTACGAACCCTCCTAAATATCCCCCTTCATTCCTGCAGCGCTCCCCACCAGCAGCCACTCCAGCAGGCTGCGCTGAGGCAGCTGGGATTGGGAAGTGGGGCCATTCAGTCGGCCCTGCTGAAAAGAAATCGTCCTTTTTTCCTCTTCCCTCCCCATTCCTTCTTCCTCATGTGTTGTGACTTTGTGACTATTTCGATCATATGCCTTTGGGGCCAGGACCGCCTTGCTGAACTGACTGCAGGTCAGCTGCTCTGAGAGGAGGATAAAAGTACTTCAGTTAAGCAAATGATAAACAAAACTTCGTGGTGATGTCATGGTATGTTTGGTCTTTTGCTGCAGGGCTTTTGCAAACTGAAAGCCAATTCAGTATCTGCCAACCTGCCTACCCAGAAAGCAGGAAGTTGTCTAGAGATTTCAGGAAGGCTGATATCCTTTCCGGAAAGAACCCGGGGGGGGGCAGCTGGCTAGACTTCCTGCCCTGGAGGACTGGGGCTGGGGGAAGAGTGGCCGGCCGCACGACAGAAACGGCTTCACAAGAAATGAGATCACGCGCCAGCAAAAACAAATAAAGGTTACCAGTGTGCCTGAAGTGTGCGTTTTATTTAAGCATTTAGAACTGCATTTGCATCCAGCCTTTCCCCCCGTGCGCTCCTGTTCCTTACTCAAAAAGCTCATCAGAGCAGTTGACATATAACCAGTTAAATCCAACAATCCATAACCCAAAGACGAATGAGCTAAAAAGTCGTAACACACAAGGAAAAATGTGCGGGGAGGGAAGAGGAAAAGGAATGGCTCATGTACACAACGATCCTGTAGGGCAGGCTAGGCAGAACTTCCGGGACTGGCCCAAAGGTGCCAGTGAGTGTTATGGTTCATGAGGACTAGCACCCAGGACTCCTAAGCTCTGGTGCCACACTCTGTCTGCCACACCACACACATTCCCTTTCCTATATTTCTCCTGGGAATGACTTGGGAAAAAAGTGGACAACTGCAGCCCTAGAGAGAGAAGCGTCCATCTCACAGCAGTGGGTGAAAATCATCGCAAGGGCCACGACTTGCGCTCCCTGCTTGTTCTGCCGCCCACGTGCTCTGCAGAACTGAAACCAGCACTTTTTCTGGATGCTACTTCGGTTTTCCCTCCACTTTACATCCCACTTGGCCTAGGCAACCATTCAGAATAGGAGGCCTTCAGAAAAGAGCACAATCCTCAAAGAGAGGGCTGCTCCCTGTAAAAGAGGGCACCCGGCCTCCTGATCGCGGCCTTTGCCAGCCGTATCCAGATCAGATGGGGGGAAAGCCGACCCCCCGTCGGAACAGACAGCGCACGCCCGGAAGAGCCAAGAACAAACGGGAAAGCTGGGAGAAACGAGCCCTCACTGCCAAGGACTTCAGGCCTCGCCGCCCTTCTCACAGCACGCAGGAGCGAGCTACCAAAACGCCCTGCTGGGTGGCACAGGCCAGTCGCAGCCCCGAAATGGTCCTCCTCCCTTGCATTCCCTCAGGCGAGACACCCAGGCCAGTCCTCCTCCGCTCCACCGCATCCCCACAACAACCCTGCGAGGCGAGCGACCAAACGGAGACTCGAACCCGGATCTCCCAGGCCCCCCCTTCCAAAGCTGTAACCACAGCACCAACGCCAACCGCTGGTCTAACTTTTATCATTCCGCCTGCCTTTTTTTTTGGCAAGGGTCATAATCCCCCTCCTCCGGTTTCCTCTCACAACAACCCTGCAAGGGAGGTTAGGCTGAGAGTCAGCGAACAGCTTGAGTCTTTGGAGTCCCTGGTATTTTGTTACCTGGCTTTGCGGCTCTTAGTTGCCCACTCCACAAAAACATTTGCTTTGTGTCTTCTGGACACCGCGGCATCTTCTTAATAAAGGATTACCTGAATTGACTAATTACCAGCAGCGCAATAGAACGAATGTTCCTTTTAAACACACGTTTTGGTGGTGCCCAATAGGTGCTTCTTTCTGGGCGGAGGTGCTTAATGCAGCCAAATCTCGCATCTGGAACAGTCTTCGATATTCCCTGATGCACATATCCTTGTAAATTATTCCTGTTTTAAATTATTTACCGGCTTCATGGAAATTACTGAAAGCACAAGTGGGTTCTTCGTGCCCTTTTACCAGCTCAGAGACTGACATCACAAGACTCGAGAGAGAATCTTTCCTCTAATGCAACGGTCTGAGCTTTTACTTGGCAAACAGGCGGCAAACAGGCAACGTCAAATGGATACTCGGCCCACTTTTATTGAAGCCAGTATATAAATTCCTAGAAAATGGGATGCTTCTCATGCAAAACCATGTATTTATGTGTTTTACAAAAAACCTTTCTAATAATAATAAAAAAATAAATTCGGCTGCCAGTGGAGATTGCTGGGCAAACTCTGCAAGAGGGCTGGGGAACAAAACCAAATTAATTTTCAGTAATTTAGCCGTGGAGATGCTGGGATTTAAGGGAGCCTAAAGTGCAAAACTACACATGGTCTGAGAATTATTTTTTAAAATTAAAGTTGGTAAAGATTTTAAAGGCGTGAAGATGCTATTGCAAAGCATGGAAAGAGAAGTGCTTGTCTTACAACTGAAGGAATATGTGTGGCCATTAAAAACTGTCCCCGATAGACCAGAAAGCCTATTCCTGCATCTAAAATAGCCCGGCTGTTTTGAAGAACCACTTGGAAGAGCAGATGATGCTAAATTAGGTGGGCAGATTGAGCTGGAAAACGGGAGCGCCCCAAATCCCTGCAGAGGGTCGGTCGCTGTGAGAAAGACCCTCTTTGCAGGCAGAAGGTTCAATTCCTCGTATTTCCAGCAGCAAAGAGCTTGGGAGCTGGCAAGGGAATGAGCCACCGGCATCCACGGCTGAGCGTAATGGGCAGAGCGCTGATTTGGTTCAATCCTGGGTCCCTGAGCTTCCAAAACCCAACAGGTACAGCTGGCCTTCGTGCGCGAACACCCCGAGGGGCAAACGCTGGCTCGGCTAAGCTTCCGCAGGGCCGGATCAGCCCCGGGAGGGGTGCCGGGCCAGAAAAGCTTGCCACGTGCCGCGTGGAGGCACATCTGGAAAGAGCGTGAGCTGAACAGGCTGTCTTTTCTGCCGTTACAAAACACAGCGGGGGCGAGAAGACGGGTGTGAACCAGCCCCGTGCCAGCAGTGCCAGGAGGCGCCGCCGCCTGGGAGAAGAAGCGAAGAACGCAGAGCTCAGTGGATCTCTTGGCACGAGCCGGGAAGAGGGAGAAAAGGTGCAGCCTCAGCTTTTATCTCCCGAGACCCCCGAAAGAAAGCCCCGCTACGAGCCAACACGGCGCAGAGACCAGGGACCCCTTTCTGCAGGACCTACTGCGCAGGGTTGTTGTGAAGGGTAAAAGGGAGAGGGCAGGGCAGGGCAGGGCGGGCTGGAACAGTGCCGTGGATATGGAAAGGGGGCACCCCAGCAACGCCAAGTTGGGCGGCGAAACCCTCCAGCCAGGAATGCCTGAGTCAGCCCTGCCCGGCGGGGCCGTGTGCCCCCCGCACCCACAAGGGGCACCCGATGCTCTTGGCAGACAGGGTGCGGCAGCGCAGCTGAGGACCAGAGTCACGTGCAGGCACGTGTGCGGGGAAGAACACACAACCAGCGTTTTGACACGCGGAGCAGTTGAACGTGGAGGCGTTGCTCCAAAAATCCCTCAACAGGGAGCAGGAAGGAGAGATTTAAAAAAAAGGGGGGGTGTTTCCAACATTTCAGAGTCTGAAATAAGATTGGGGTTCTCTCTCGGGGAGAGGTGGTCTGAGCCCATGCCTGCCTGCCAGGGATCCAGAAAGGAACCCCCCACTCCTCACCAGTAAACAGCAGTAAAGTCACTCCCGTTGGAGAATCCAGGGATCCGTCCCCCCCCCCACCCCAAAGATGAGAGCATTGCATGAGGCAGCGCGTGGACACCCAGTTCCAGCGCCCCCTGGGCTACCCCAGACCCGCAACCTGTCCTACCTCACGGGGCTGTTGTCGCAGCTAGAGCCAGAAGACCGGGGAGCATGGGCGCTGCAGTCCGACGAGAGCTTCCCTCTCCCGAGGAGCAGCCCGCTGCCGGCGCCTACTCCGGAGTCGCCCCTCGCGGGATCGCGGCGCGCCTGCGGCCGGAGGGGGGCGCGCCGAGCCCGTTCCTGCTGCGCCCCCCCCATGTGAAGGGGGCCCACGGGGCCCGGGGCTGGGCGCGCCCCCCGGGAGCGCCCCCCGCAGCACGCGCGCAGACACGTGTCGCCCGCTCCCAGCGCGCGGCCCGGAAGCCCGACACGGAGCGAAGCGGGAGCCGCGGACGCGGAAATGCGCCGCAGGACACGCGGCAGCAGCGCCCGGCGCGACTCGCCTGCCCCGCCGCCGCCTCGTCTGAACGCCCCGCGGGGGCGAGGCCCGGGGAGGGAGGGGGGAGGGAGGGGCGTGCGCGGGGCGGGCAAGCGCGCCTCTGAGGGCGCGCAGAGCGGGCCCGGCCCGGCCCCCTCCCTCCCTCCCTCCCTCCGCGCCCGCTGGAAGGCCGGCCGGGAAACGCCGCCGGTCCGCGGCCAGCCGTGCCCCGCGCGGGCTCGGAGCCCTCCTCGGGGTGCTGCGCTCCCCGCCCGCCCGCGCCGCTTTCCGCCCCCGCATCGCTCCTCCAGGCAAGGAGCACACGCACCGTGCGCCGCGAGCCGTCGGGTCCAGTCCTTCCGAGCCCTGCCCCGGGAACGGCGAGCGCTGCGACGACTCCGATCGCTTCCCGGGATTTTGAGCGCAGAGGTGCCAGGCAGAGACTTCTGGCCTCGGCGTCCGGGCCTGCGATCCGTGCGGCACAAGGGGCGCGGGCGGCCTTTGCGCGGACGCGCTGCAGGAAGGCGCAGAGCGAGGAGCCGAAGGCAAACACCCGCGCGTCTGGGCGAGCCCGCTCCCCGGCCGCAAAAGCGCTAGGTGCAGGGTGCGCGATTACCTCCCTCGGCACCACCGCGGCTGGGACGGCTACAGAAACGAGCGTTGTGTTGCGATCACAGCCATCCTCGTTGCGCTTTTAAGTTCAAAGAGATTTGTGTACTTTGGATAGTTTTGTAGCATTTCCCTGGTTTGTTTTTATGAGCTGTCTGTTTGATAAACTACCCAGAGCTTTGGCTATGATTGCTATAGAAAGGGAACGATATTTAAACCCTTCCAAACATTGTCATGGTTAAGGGCAGGCCCAAGTCGGAGCTTAACCAGGCACGAAATGGGCACCCAAGATCATGAACAACATGGGCCGACGTGGCCCAGATGCGTTTGGATTAAAACTCCCATCATCCCAGGCAGGAAAGGGGGTATTGAAAGGGGCAGCTTTCAAATAGTCCCCCCCCCCCCCGCACGCACACGCTTTTCAGCGACGAACGGGGAATGTGGGAAGGAAAAGCGGCGCTAGCTTGAAACACAAAGCTGGGCTAACAAAGCCGTTACAGCGTGTGGGATTCTTCTCTGTACCGTGTTTTCTATTTTAACTGTTTCCATGGCACATGTTTAAATTATTATGCCTGCATTTATACCTCACCTCTTGGCTTCTTTCTCGTGAGGCTTGCTTCTCATTTCTCCTCGCAACAGCCCTGTGAGGTAGGTTGGGCTGAGCCTCTGAGACAGGCCCAGAGTCACCCAGTGGCTTCATGGCCAAGAAGGGGACTAGCGCTCGGCTCTCCCGAGGTCCCAGTCCGGCGCTCTAACACCACGGGCTGCATTTTAGTCTCTCGAAACCCACAAGCATCAACACGGTTAAACTGAGCTCTTGGACTCTGGAGAAAACACATTCAGAAGGTGCAGGAAAACCCCAACACCAGAAAGGATTTCCTGATCGCTCCAGAGAGCCTTGCCTTTCACTTGCTGTCTGCAAACTTAATTAAAGAGGAAGATTGTTTTTATTTCCCCATGGGGGAGGACTGCCGTTTCTTTCCAGCTTCATCAAAAGCAGCACTTTTCCCCAGCTCCGAGGAAGCAAGTGTTGACTTAAGAAGCTCAGAAGCAGATGGGGGGAAGAATTCGCTTGGTGATTTTATTTGAGCTCTTCCAGAAACTGGAGGTGGGGCGGGGGCTGTTTCTACACCGGGGTCCAATCCACCAGCTGCGGCAAAGAGGGCCGAGGGCTGCCCGGCTCGGGAGGTGTGTCTCCGTTCCTCCCCCGACCTCTGCAGGGGAAGGCATCCGCAGGATCGGGCTCCAAAAGGCAGGCCGTGCTGGATCCAGGAGAAGCGAGGCAGCCGAAGTCCGTGGCCCTGCCGCGGGGGAACGCTAGACTTTGTGGACGGAATACTTGCCCTTCTGCAGCTGGGACACGTAGAGTTTGGTTTTGCTGCCGTCGTCCTTGCGGAGCCAAACTTCGCCGGTGCTGACGGCCGTGACGACGGCCCTGCGGGGAAAGGACAGGCTGGGAGAGGCCGGGGCGCCAGGGTGCGTGGCCGCAGCTCAGAGCCGCCTGCCCGCTTTCGGTCTCTTCCCACCAGAGGGAGAGGCGGCAGCCCGTGCGTGGGACCCAATTCCTCTCACGGCCGCTTTGGACCAAAAATTCCTTCCGGAGGAGGGATTTTCCACTGGGCAAACAGGGTTGAACTCCCCTTCCGGCCTGCTGGGATTCCAATAATCAACTCCCCTTCCAGCCAATGCTACTTAAAAACCAAACAAAACCAAACCAAGTCCAGTCCAGCTCCTCACTGACATAGATGCATCGGTAGTCACCTCTCTGCCTCTTTGGATTTTTAAATATCATCTTTTTTAACTGGGAGCACACTCTGCTTAAAATCAGTGGGCTTTTATTTGGATTTGAAAAAGAGTGGGTTTTATTTTTGCGTGTGGCTCCCACCTCTTTAGCATCCTTGGGGTTTTCGGCAAGTGGCCTCTCCATCACTCTCAACAAACTGCCTTCTTGGAAGCGGCCATTTTGAGAGGCGTCCTGCCCACCATTAAAGCCAGTTTAGGAAAGGGTGTGCTGCTCTCTTAATTTTGAGAGTGCCCACGAGACTCTCAGCATCCCGAGCGAGCCTACCGACCGGAAAAGGTGGAAAGCCCCTCGGATGGACGGTTAGCCCACAGTGCAGAAACCCATCAGTTCAAGGCTGGTTGTCAATCTTGAGAGAATGGCCTTTTCTCTGCATTATGTTTTCTCTTTTTCACAGCTAGTAACCTAAGCTGGATATGGCCCAAGATATTGGGGTGCCTTAGACAGTCTGTGCCCCATTTATCCTTCACATACCACACTGTCCAGCTATGGGATCTAGCCAGCCTGAAAAGGAGACTGGACAAATTCCTGGAGGAGAAGGCTATTTATGGCTACTAGTCCTCATGATCTTATGCAAGTGCAGTATCAGAGGCAATACGCCCGGGGAACAGGAGTGGGAGGGTGCTGTTGGCATCATGTGGGATTCTAGGCCATCCATGGCCGTCTGCTCCATCAGGGCTCTTCTCTCAGTTAACACAGGGCCCGAATCCATGTGGAGACTGGGGAACGTTCCCCCTGTGCAGAGCCCGTTTAAACCAAGGGGAGCCCCACCAAATGGGCCCTTCGACAGACTCTGGCTGGCTCCCTCTGACCAGCCCCGCACGTTTCGCACTCACTGGATGGGGGGCTCGTCCCCCACTTGCAAGGAGATGCTCTGCCCTTTGACGTAAGTCTCGCCTTCGTAATGCAGGCAGCCGTCTTCACAGTGCGCAGAGAACAGGGCTGGGGACGGCACCTTCTCGGCCTTCACCGGTCCTGCAAGAAGGACATGCCTGCATGTACAGAGGGTATTTTTACACTGCCCAGTCGGCCGAGACGCTTGGCTGGTGGACAAGACAAAGGCTTCGAAGCACAAAGGAAAATGCTGGCGGCCGTTCCGGTATCTACTAAACTTTTTTTAAAAATTGGAAGGACCAAAGAAAACGGCATGAGGATGTCTGTCTGTCTGTCTGTCTGTCTGTGCTGAGATGTTTTAGCTTTCGGAGAACCAGTGTGGTGGGTATAGTGGTCAGTGCCGGACTGGGACCCAGGAGATCCAGGTTTTGGTCCGCATTCAGCCATGAAGCAAACTGCCTGACTCTGGGCCAGCCATGGACTCTCAGTCTAGTCCACCTCTCAGGGTTGTTATCGTGAGGATAAAATGGAGTGGAAGAGAAATGTGGAAACAGCTTTGGGTTCCTTACCCAAGGCTAAGTATGAATGTAAAGGGAGGAGGAGGAGAATTCTTGATGTTTAAGATCTATGATGGTGCCATCACCAAAACGGCCCTTCTGTTTGGAAGCCATCCACTTTGCCTCTTTTGGCAGGGACACCCAGAGGAGCAGGTAGATGCTCTTACGCCTGTGGGCAGGTACACCTGCAAGGGGATTATTCTTTAGGTAACCTGGTCCCCAGTCGTTTTGCTCCCAGGACCTGGAATGGATGGGGAACTGCTAAACGGGGGCTCCAATCTGACACGCCACCCACACCAGCTCTTCCAGGACCCTGCGCTGAGAGCAGCGAGTCTGGCAATGGGACCTGTTTCCCCAGCTCTGCCTGCTGAAAAAAAAAATTATCTTTTCCTTCCCTATCCCTTTTTCCGCGTGTGTTGTCTTCTTGGATTATTAACATCTGGGACCAGAAACATTCCTGTTGTCTTGATTATGTGTAATCTGCTCTGGAAGTGGTTTTGGAAGCAGCATGAAAAGGATGGCAAAGAAAAGAATACAAGTCAAACCCTGGGTCCTGCTTCACCGATAAAATGCAGCCCTAAACTGGAATTCAGGCCAGCTGACAAGGACTCAACACACCTGCTATAGTGCGCGCTTGCTTCTTTTTTACAAGAAACATCGAATTGACATTTCTAAATGCTTCTGTCTTGTCCTGTTACTGTGAGACAGCTAAAAGGTTCGACACTGAGACCTACCTATGAAGGCCGGGCCCACCCTTTAAGATAACCAGGCATGGGAGGCCAGGCCTGTCCTGTCCCACCCCAAATTCCCCCTTTGTTTCGACCTGAGTTCTGCCTGGAGCTTCTTGGACAAGGCAGGTGGGAAAGAACACACAGTCTTGCCCTTGCAGGGAAGGGAAAAGTAACAGAGCTCTTACCTTCGAGTTTCCTCTTCGGCGGGGACATGGCAGCTTTTGCCTGGGAAGACATGAGAGTGTTAAGTGAGGGGATGGAAGGAAGGAAGGTGTGGGGGAGAGAAAATGAGAGAGAACGCGAGGGTGAGCTCCCATCCCCTTCCTTGCTCCCCACAAGAGCCTGACGTCCCCAGTCAGGTATTTGGGAGTGCAAGAAGCTGCTATATGCCAGACAGTTCGCACCGTCTCGAAGCAGCTCTCCAAGGTCACGGTCACAAAGGAAATGCCACGGACGGAGCCTTCTACAGAACATTAGCTCCGCCACAGAGCCACTGTCCTTCCCTAACAGTAGAGGAAGTTTCCGGTCCTCATGATTCTGAGGAACGGGTTGATCGCAGTAAGAGCAGGCAAAAGCCTTGGTTCACCGAGCCGTAAGATGCACTGGATATCAGCAACAACCGCCTGTGGTTTTAGGGAGGTCCCTTTCCATGGACTCCCCTCAGCCCCCCCCCACCTCTGAATGAAGGTGGCAGCTCAGGCTCCCCCCCTTCCCCCCAAGACTTGCCTTTTTGATGGCCGTCCAATCCTCCATGATATCAATCTCATGTAACATGTAGACAATATACGGGCGTGAGAAAGGGGTGTTAAGACCCAACCTGTGCAGGAGTACCCATGAGAAAATGGCCCCTGTTCCTCCACCCACCCACCCACCCACAACTGCCTAATCCAGGCAGAACTAGAACAGGTGCAGCTCTGCATGTCCCAGGCAAGAAGCCTGGAAAGCCGCCAGGCAAAAGTGTCAGCGAGGTGCTCAAAAGGATATCGGACACCAGTGGCGGCTTCTTCCTCTTTCCGGGCCGGAAAGGGTCCCAGTCCTTTGCATTGTGCTTTGGGCGAAGCTTGTCGTCCCACCACTCTGGGAGGAGGAGAGAGGGGGAAAGGAGTGTCAGCCATGGTTCTTGCTTCCCAGGGATGCCCAGGAGCTGCAGTTTTGCAAGAAAGGGGGACAGGGATTCTGCACAAGGCCCACCCAAGGAACTACCATCCCGGAAGGGGCAGAAGCAGGGGGAAACTTATTTATTTATTATTGGATTTATATTCCGCCTTTTTTCTGACATAACTCTTTTCTCGCCGCTCTCCCTCTTATACATCCACCCTGGGCTGAGAGCCTAGGACTGGCCAAAAGTCCCCCAGCTGGCTGAGTAGCAACTAGAACCCAGATCACCCGAGTTCCAGTCGCGCACTCTTAACACTACAACACACTGCCATTCTGGCCACTGGATACAAAAGGAATCTCCTTCCAGCCACCACGGGGAGGATCAGCCAAGAGCAAGAAGTCACGGCAGGCAAATCCCCAGATGCTCAGCTCTTTCCCATCCCGAACTGGGGGTGGCCCTGAACCTCCGATGTGCAGCGGGCAAAGCAGGGGCTGTGCCAGGGACGGTGCCTGCATGCTGGGGTGTGGCTGCACTGACCCGAAGTGAGGCCCACGCTGTGCCGGTCGTCCTCCAAGCGCTGGATCCGCTCCAAAAGGCGTTCCTGAAGCGTGTCGAAAAGGAGCAGCTTCTCGCTCTGGGTGTGGAAATGAACAATTGCCGGGATGCTTCTGGCTTCTTGACTCCCCAGCGGAGCTTCTGTTAACCCCAGACTTGCTCATTTTATCTTCCCAGCAACCCTGTGAGGTAGGCTAGGTAGAGAGGGAGACAGCCTGGCCCAAGGTCCCCCAGTAAGCTCTCTGGGCAAGCGAGGATTCGAACTTGTGTCTTTTCAGCCCTAGTGGGACATTCCAGCACAGGGGCGCCCCTTCTGCTAGTAACCCAGCCTAAAGAGAAAAGTTTGTGCCCTTTACATGGGGGCAGAAAGTGCCAAAGCCAGGAGACAGTAGGCAGATCTGTGCCCCATGAGCAGGTGTGACCAGTTGACCTGAGACCCTGAATCTTTCAAGACCCAATTTTCTCTCTCTCTCTCTCTCTCTCTCTAGAGAACTTCTATGCCGCCCCATTCGCCGAAGCCTTGGGGCGGCTCACAATCATATCACATCAAATTTTCCTTCACTTCATCTCCCTTATCCAGGCATTTCTTTCTCAAATAGGGTGTCCTTAGAAAGCAGGGTCCTTTAAAGACATACGGAGAAGAGAAAGACTTCAGACTTACTTAACTTAGGATTGAACTTAGCATCCACAGATCTGTGCATTTTTTTTGTCCCGTGGGTCTAGGACCAGATCTCTTAGGTACCCAGCATCGATCCTGCCCTCGAGGGATGGATTTGCCCCCTCCCCCAGCCTGAAGTCCTCGACCCTTATCCTAGCATTTTGTGGGACGTGGACAGCCTGAAAATCCAACCCATTCCCCTTAAAGTAGTCCTTTAGCTAATTAGAGGGACAAGGGCTTTTCTGCCTCAGCCTCAAATTAAAATGTAAACATGCTGGTCAGCGAGGAAAACTCACTGAACACAACTCGCTAATTGTTGTTTTCCAAGTGGACTGGCTCATACATGGCATTTTAAGATTCAAGCTAAAAACTGTTGTACGGATTCCAAACTAGGATATAAGATTGCTGCTTTCCCCCGTGCAATGCGCTGGAAATTCCATGTTTAGGCAAAGCAAAATGCATGGCGACGGGCTGGCATGGAGCGGTACACCCAAGACGGAGCTCGGGACAGTGAGTCAGCGCTAAATCGCAGCTGCGGAAAACGTGAGTGCAGTTTTGGGAGCTTTAAGAGAACCTCTGTTCCATGAGAAGTTCTGCTTTTTGCCTCCTGCTCAGACTTCCTCTTCAGCAAGATGTCCACTTTCAGATGTCACATTTTAAGCAAATGTATTACTTTTGAGGTGTTTTTCATATGGTCACAGACTGGCTTGGCGACAGAAGGAGGACAGATCACCTTTCTTATCATTGCACTGCTTTTATACACTGCCTTCCTTTCTTTTGCAAGGAATCCAACGCAATTTACAAAACTCTCCAACTTTGCATTTCATTTTCATAACAACAACCCTGAGAGGTAGGCTTGGCTGAGAATGAGCAACCAGGACAAAGTCTGCTGGTGAAATATATGGCTGAGAGGGGGCCTACACCCCAATCTCCCCTGACCCCATCCAACACTTTAAACCACCACACCACACGGCTTTCCTTATTTAAGCCCAAAAACCAGGTTCAGTTTTGGAAAAGCCTGTGCGGGGGGGGGGACACATTCTAGGGTAAACAGGACAGAATTACCAGCTTTTTTCAGCTTAAGGAAGCATTGTTTGGGTGAAGTCATATAGAAACTATTCACATGCAACATCGTAATGATCAAAAGTAAGAAATGCCAGGACTTGTGATTTTGGGTCCCCCCCGGAAAAGGGTGGAAGGGAAACAGGCTTTTGTCTCCTTGAGTGTAGGGGTAGCAAACCAGTGCTGTTCAGATACTGCAGACGGCCACTCCCTGTGTTCTGGATCGTGGGCCATACATACCTCCCAGGGGAGACTGAGGTTTTATTGAGGTTTTATGGTACTGGGGGGTCTATTGTATGGGGGTTTTAATGTATGGTTGACTTTTTTTGATGTTGTGAGCCACCCCGAGGCTTATTGCGATGGGGCGGCATAGAAATGTTTTAAACAAATAAATAATAAATAAGATGGACATCGCAGTGCGAAAGGTCGGGAGGATTTGAGAGGGAAAATAAAGGAACAAGCAAAGGTTGTCTCCCCAAACCTCTAGGTGTTGCCGGGCTCCCTGCAGTTCGCATCGGTGTTTGTGGTTGATGATGTCCAGGCAGAAGCCTCGGTAGATTCCTGTGGAGCGGAAAAGTACAGGAGATGCAGCTTTCTCTTCTTCAGCATCTTTCCAGCCTACGCAGCCGTCTTTTCGCAGCCGGGAACCAGCCGCAGGAGAGAGAATCTTCCTCGCGGCTCTTCGTCCCACCCCCAGCAAGGACAGCCCTTCCCATCCCCAGTGATGCCAGCAGGGACGAAGTCCGGAGTGGTCAGCCCTGGGAAGACCCCAAAACACGCCCCCAGTGACCACCCAGGTTGTTGGGCAGCTGAAGGAAGCTTCTCTTTGCTCCCTTAAGTCATGAAGATGCGCAAAAATGCAGGGAGTTTAAAACGCACAACTCCACATGCTCAAAGCTTCCTTCTTTTTTAGTATCAGCTGGCAAACCGGGAAATGCAGAAGCGGCTTTATGTAAAGTGGTTGGGGTTAGATGCGAAGTGTGTGTTTGACAACTGAACACACACATGTTGTGAAGGACATAAGACTGCAAAGTCCAGGGACTAAAGTTACGCTGTCTCTGCTCACTGCTTCTGGGATTAGCAGGCTGGGCTTCTGGGGAGACGCAAACCCTCTCGGCTCTCCTTCAGAAGTTCACCACAGTGCCAAACGTTGTGATTCAGAAGTCCTCTCCCGGCCTGAGCTGCCCCATGGCTCTGACGGCCCCCCGGGTTGCCAGGATCTTACCCCTACCTGCCACTTCGATGCGGATCTGCATGTGCTTCTGCAGCACCCCCAGGGGATCCAGATATTCCGCAGCTTTCCCTGCCATCACGTCCTCCAGCTTGGCCTTCACCTGATTCAGGCGCTCCTTGAAAAGCCTGCAAGACAGCAGACGACGCCCGACTGGATTGCTAGTCCTCTGTCGCAAAGACCCAAGGGTGCTGTGTCTGTGCAGCTGATGAGCAGAAGACTGCTCCTAAACAGGGAGGCTCCACTTCTTTGCCAATTATCATTAGGATTTAGAGAAGAGACCTTAAAGCACCAGTCTCTCAGCCAAATCTAGATTTTTTCGCTGGCGAGGCATGATGGCTCCTTCTCTATTTCCTACAGAATATTGGTCATGCTTAGGAACACAGAGAGCTTCATGTTCCTAGTTCATTTGTGGAAAAGTGGGAGCCACTGAAGAAGCATCCAACCAACCATGTTATGCCTGCCCTCCCTAACCGGCTGCCTTCCCAAAGGGCATTCCAGTCGCCATCCCGTCTCTTCCCAGAGGGACACAACAAAATAGGTCAGATCCTGCATGCACCCAGCCCAGGCCTGCAGCGGCTACTCTCCGGGCTTTCCTGGCAGGAGTTCTTGCAGCCCCAGCTGGAGATGTCGGGGGCAGGACCTCCTGCAGCATCGCAGGGGTTCCACTGGCATCACCGGCTCCTTCCCAAGCTCCCGCCTGAGATGGGCCCATGCTTGCTTCCGCAGACCTGGGCCCAAGTCCCAGCAAAATTGTAGTGAATGCTAAGTGGGCTTGGACTGGTTTCTCCCTCTTTCCGCCTCACAGGATTGTTGTGAAGATAAAGGGTGTGTGGCAGAGTGACTCCAAGCAGCTCTGGCCAGTGGACCCCCGCTGGGTTGTGGGCCCTTGGCTGGGGCCCAGCCATGCCAACTCTTGGTGCCAGCTGTGGATACGGACAACAGGGCGGGCATTAAACAGTGCGGGGAGAAAGAAAGGCAGCTCACGTCTCTTTGAGTTCAGAAAACTGCTTCTCCAAGTCCGACATCTCATCAAGGCACTCCGAACGGCGGCGTTCATAATCCTCTTCATCCATCTCTGCAGATAAAACCAACAACACGGGGGAAATGTTTATTTCTTTAAACTTTGTCTATACCATCTATATTTCCACAGAAAAACTCTGGATGGTTAAAGTATCAGAACCATTAACCGTACTCATTTAAAAGAGAATTAAATGAGAGATATATCAAAATTAACAGTTAAAATATCGGGTAAATAAAAAGGTCTTGGTCTGGCGCCGGAGAGAATAAAGAGTCGGCGCGCACACCCACAGCACTTTCTCAGGGAAGAAAGAGGAGGTGCTATGCTGCTCAACTACCTGAACTCTCCTCTTCCGACTCGGACTGGCTGGCACTGTGTTCATCCTCGCTTTCTTCTTCGCCATTCATCTCGGCAGCCGAATCTCCTTCTGCCTCTGTCTCCTTGGGCAGCGGTTGGACAGGCATTGTGCTCTGCAGGGCAGAGGAGGAAGCAAAGGAGGAGAGAAAATTAACACACTGTACAGTGTTGAGCCACTTCTGGGCATCCTCCTGACATTAGCTATGCATATTCTACACATGTGTAAAGCACAAGGACCCCACAGTCACAGCATTTAGCATACTATCAACTTGTGTGACTATGCTTTAAAGGCAAGATTCTAGTCCTCAAGCTTGGGGGACGTCTTTAAAGTCTTCGGCCACCATCACCAGGTATATCTCACCAAGAGGAACGACGAAGCAGCTAGTGTAAAAGATACCTGCAAGATGCATTCCCAAGAAAGAATTGGTTGATTTAAAAAGGAGGTGGTCTGAAAAAGGGTCTCAGCCTGATGGGAAATCTGTAATAGGGCCACTGCTCAGTCAAAACCGTGGCTGTCTGGCAGCAGTTGGCTGGGTTCAGACACGATGATAACCTACACCAAGTGCTGAGCATGATTGTCTCTGATGGGTTGTTGCTGTTGAAAGGTAGATTCTCATGTTGTCTGAACACAGCCAGGCTGAAAAAACACAGAGAATAACCCACAATTCTCAGCCCAACAACAAACCAGGTGTCCACTTCAGGTTTTTTAATTCCTCCGTGCTGCCTATTTCTTTCATTGATGTACTTTAATGCTTACCTAAACATTAAAGAACAGAGCTGGGGGTCAGACTAGATGGCCTGGGAGGCCCCTTCTGACTCACTCTGTTTCTGTGTTTATTTTTAATCCGGGCTCTAGTGTTCACTGTTTTGAGTGCCATTTCAGGGATTGGGAGCAGACCAGAATTAAGCTGCACCTCTTGAATATCTGTCTGTAAAAACAGCTGCTCAAGGCACAGGAGGCTTTTGAGAAAAAGAAAGATGAAATGAAGAGCAATCCACCACTACACTGAATCGTCGCTCCAGGTCTTCTCTGATGAGATCTTGAGAAAACTGGTTCCCCCCACTGCAATACCCCTCATTTCTAGCAGTCTATCCCACACCCCAATGGCGTTTCCTGGCAAGAACCACCCTACGTAAATGGTGCATTGTTTAGACTTGGAGAACGGTCTTCTTTCACCCAAGAAACCGCTTTTCCACTGACATCATCTGTGCAGGCCCTCTTGTGTCTCCCGGTGTGGCTGGAGTATTGGGCCAGAATTCAGAATAGCTGGGTTCCAGTCCTTACTCAGCCATGCAGCTTATTCAGTGGCTTTGAGCGGATCATGAACTCTCAGCCTAGCCTACCTCACAGGGGTTTTGTCAGCATAACATGAAGAGGAGGAGCACCATGCAAGATGCCTCGGTTTTCCTTGCAGGAAAGAAAATGGCCAGGTATGAATATGCCCAATTGATCAATCCCCCGCGCTATGCACTTAGCTGGGACCAGCACCGAGGCCTTTCTGGTGGCTGCCCCGCAGCCCGGGCGCTGCGACTGCTTTGCCAAGGAGGTTCACCATGGCTCTTCACCGATGACAATACTGACACTGCAGGAGGCCTTTCCTTCCAAGGCAGACATTTAAGGCACATTCTATGCATGTTAATCTAGAAAAAGCCCCCAAACTCCCAGCATGCCCCAGCTGGCAAGGCATGCTGGGACTAGCGAGCCTTTTTCTGAATAAGCCTGCATAGAATTGAGCCCTTCGTATGTCACCCGTGCTGTCTTAATCTGTTACTGTTTCTTTGTTTAGTCGTTTGACTTTAGTCGTAGGTTTATCATCTACTGCTGCCTTGATGTCTTTGTGTGTTAAAAAATATGGTTTCTGCTCTTAGCCCTGAAGAAAAAGCATGGTATAAATGCTTTTTTAAAAAAATCAGTAGCTATCACAACCCGTCGCCAAACCCACCACCCCTAGTTTGCAATGGACTAAGCCACAAACCTTTATACATTTCACAGGGGAACGGACTACGGAGCAATTCATGGGGGGAACCCTGCGTTAATAGGGATAAATCCGCCATAGATACGCCCCCGCCCCGAGTGGCAGTGGTCTGGCCCAAGCCCCCGCTACGCTCACAAAGTGGGGAAAATGCCTAGGACTGGGATGGGCGGGACCAATATGACCCAGAAAAGGGGGGGGGTTAGTGGGGAAAGCGGCCGGGCCCCTCATTACCTGGGGGTGGGGCTGAGAAAAGCGCAAACCCCGCTTGGGCCCTCTTCAGCAATCGGAAGTCGCTCTCGTTCGAGCCCGCCCCGCGCCACTGGCCAATCACAACTATTTATCAGTTTGCCCAGAAGGGCTCTTCTCTATGATCCAACGGCTTGACTGTGGTAACCGCGCGGCATGGCGGGAAACCGGAAGCGGAAGTCGAGGCAGGCGTTTCCATAGCGACAGGGAATCAAGAAAACAAAAACAGGCTGGGTGCACTACTGTGCTCGCTGTATCATTAGGAAGAACTATGAAAATGGTCACGGGCTCGAGAAGCGTGCAGATCCAGAAATAAATAATTTTAAAAGACACCATGAACCCCCCTCTGCGTGAGACGAAGGCGCAGATTGCTGCGTGTCCAAAAGGCTCATTTAGAGCACAATCCTATAAAAAGACCTACAACTCCCAGAGCTGAGAGTTTGGGGGGGGGGGGGTCCTGTCTGAGGCTAAGCCAAGAGAAAAGACAAAAATAAAGGCTTAGAAACACCCTCCCAGGCCTGGAGCCACGGCCACAAAAGGGCTGTGGTTGCCATGGCACCCCAGTACTGTTGCCATGAGAACGGGCCGCATTTTCCTGCTACCCACCCTCACACCATCTGTGCCATTCATTTGGATTTTTACCCCTACCTACTTTCTTCTACCAAGTGCAGCACTCGGACAATTCTTTACCCCTTTTATTGACACAACAACCCTGTGAGGTAGGTTAGGTTGGCCTAAATCATTATAGGAACATACTACATCATGGATGTAACACACTGAACCCACACAATGCTCTGTCGCTCCCTGTGAGTAAAGAGAACCCCCAGTGAAAGACACCTGACAGTCTGTAAACCTTAAAAACACATTTAGATATCATTTGGATGTTTATTGAGACCAAATAAACTTAGGTACTGGATTATTTGGTTATGATGGTGCAATTCTGCACACAGCCGAGCATAAGGGTCAGGCCGCTCCGCACATGATACCAGAATGCACCAGACTTCTAGGATTGTCACAGAAGACATGATGGTCATGCATATTATTTTTGCTGAAAACAGACCCATCCATGCTGCACAGAGGGAAAGAGTCAAGGCCTATCACAAGCTGAGAACAAAATGAGTAAGAAGCCATATAAGAAGATGCCCGTGCCCTAAACCTTAAAAAAAAAAACAGAACCCAAATTAGAGACGGCCGTGCCTATTTAAAAACACAAATGCAGTGGATTCTGCCCAGCAATCAGAAAACTGATGGCCATTCTACCAGGCAGCGAGACAGAGAAAAGCAAGATTTCATCTTTCAGCTGAATGACCAGCAGACACCGAGTTGGCTGCCTGATGCCCAAGTTTGTTTCCTCCTCCCTCCTCATCGCTCCTTCTGTGTGTGCTGTGTCTTCTATGTTGTAAATCTGTGAGCCATCTTGGAGAAGATCAAAGCCTATTCCCACCAGTCCTGTCCCCACCAACCAGCTAAGAGTGGCCATGTGTTCTGCTTAATATAGCAGAGGCCTCTATTCAGAGGCAACTTCTATATAAAGGTCTGTTTTGCCCAAGTCTGGAATAAAGAGAAAGAAAAGAACTATAGGAAGGGAGAGCAGGAAGTGCCTTCAAACTGTCTGCTCACATTTAGCAGCATCTGGACAACAGCCTCCTCCCCAGTAAAATGGAAAGATTGTATTCCAGAATTTACAGTATTGTATACAGTAAAATGGGGAAAGTTTGTATTCCTGAAATTACAGTACTTCTACATTTGCATTTATCTGTCAATCTGTAGCATGTAGCACTGTAGCCTGAATCCCTTCTTTTCCCAGATATGTATCCTTGTAAATAACTATGAGCAATGACTTCTGCAAACCATTTTTGCTAGAACATATCTCTAATCTTTCCTAGATACCAAGATCAGTATCAGAGGTCCTTGTCTGGGTGCCAGCTCCAAGAAAAGCTCAGGAGGAAGCAAAAGGGGGGACTTGTCCATGGTGGGCCCCCAACTGTGGAATTATCTCCCCCCTGAGGCCCCCCAGTGCCAACCTTGCCACCTTCTCAGTGCCAGGTTAAGGCAACTTTCCATGCCAAGCATTAAAAACTCCTGAGGATATTTAACAGGTTAATACTCTATATCGTCATGTTAGCTAGTTTTAAATTATTTTTATTTATTTTTTTACATTTTGGAAAATTTAGTGTTTCATTATAATATGTGTTTCTCGAACCTCTGTAAACTCCCCAGAGGGCTATTGGGAGGCATAAAAATGAAATAATAACAACAAACATTAGGAAGCAGAAACAGTGATCAAGATCCAAAGATAGTTATCTCAAGGCTCACATCACAGGATTTGTACACTAAGGTAACAGGACTTTTTTTTAAGGCTAGGATGGATTAGGCATACCAGTGTGTTACTCTGGATAATTTCACGATTATCCAAAAATATGAACGCCCATCACAAATAACACCTGGGTATCAATAACTGCAGACCCCTGAATTACCCCTTGAGATGTAAGTTTGGGGTAACTAATTTGTAAACAAGTCCTATAAAATATAAAAACAACAATCGGGGGTTTTCTGCAGCCCAAGGTAAACCAAGGTACTGTTGAGCAGAAGGGTCAGGCTGTGTGTGTATAAACACAGGCTCCCTGAAATGAAACACAAATATTTGTAGCAGCCACAAACACACTTGAGGAAATGGGCAGAGCAGCCCCGGGACTGCCTGGCCCCTTCCCCTGTGATCAGTGCATGACAGACGGCATCCAGCACGGGGTCCCCCCGTAGTTCAAAAGAGCTTCAGCTGTCCCTCCGCAAGGGAAGGTGTGACGTCAGCATCGCCGCTCAGAGTCGGGGTACCTGCTCTTCAACTCCTGCTTGAATTGTCGGAAGAGGATTTTGTTGCGCTGGTTCTCGGCGTCCTTTTCGGCATGGAACTCACCCGCCACCTTGAAACCCTTGTGCACCAGGAACGCGTTGCTCAGCACTGAGAAACGATACCCCGCCACGTGAAGCTCGCAGGCCTGCAAGGAAAGGAAACGGAGCAACAGCTTGGCCCATGCAAAAGTCCCCTCCCACCCAGCCTATTCCATGGAACACATGTTGGGCTATTCTTATACGGTGAAGGGAGGAACATCTGACCTGTCTGGAGTTTTGGTCCACCCTCTGGGGTTTCCTACATAGTCACACCCCCTTTCCCACAACCACAAAGCGCTTGGTAATTTCCTGACTGTTCCAAATCCAAATCCAAATTTTATTATGGTCAGCGACCAGATTGTCTTATGGTCTTACTTGGTAAATGTTTTTTTAAGGTAAAATATTCCAACTATTAAAAGGCAAAACAACAGTAAACAAAGGATATAACATTGAATACATTTGCCTGTTACGATTTGTGATCAAACTTTTAAAACACTGCATTCCGTTGAAGAAGGATTTCCCATTCAGTGTGGTTGGGATGACTTTCCTAAGTCTGGAAGTTAAAGGTTTAAGCCACAAAGGCCGTCATTTGCCTTTCCTGTCACACCTGCTTTGTCTTTGCCCCCCGCCCCTCCAACCAGAGTGCGGCCTTCCTGTGTTCCCCACAGTTGGAAGCGGCTCGCAGGCCGGGAAGGTTCCCCATCCGGATCCCCTCGCTTCCTCCCGAGCCTGGACCGCAACGCTCCCCGCCGCTGGACGGACGGATCGCCTCCCCGGTGCGGCGCAGCTACCTGGCTGATGCGGTTGAAGCCGTACTGCTTGAAGCGCTCGTCGTAGGGGGGCACGGAGCTGGCCCCGATGTAGAAGGGCTCCCAGGGGTCCCGCCACTCCACCTCGTAGACCACGCGCAGGGGCCCCCCGGAGGGGAGGTTCAGCCAGCGGGAGTAGTTGGTGGGCGCCTGGCAGCGGGCGCACAGCTCCTCGTAGAAGGGGCGGATCTCGCCCACCTGGTACAGCTGCAGCAGCTCCTCCTTGGTGCCGGGGATGCGGCGCGTGTGGCGGATCTCGAAGGCGGGCACCACGAAGACGCGCGGCGCCGCCTCGTCCGCGGCCCCGGGCAGCGCCAGGAAGGCCTCGCGCAGCCCCGCGCTGGGCACCATGTCCACGTCCAGCACCAGCGCCCAGCGCCCGCCGCCCGCCGCGCGCGCCACGTTGCGCAGCAGGTTGTTGGGGTACGAGGCGTTGCGCGCCGCCAGCGCGTAGTTGCGCTGCCCGGCGCCCTCGCGCGCCAGCTTGGCGAAGACGTCGGCGCAGCTGCGCAGGCGGGCGAACTCGCCGCCGTCCGCCGGCTCCGGCAGCGGCGCGGCCGCCGCCTCGGCGGGGCACACCAGGTGCAGGCGCAGCAGCTGGCGCGCCGGCGCGCACAGGGCGGCCAGCGCGTAGGCCGTGGCCGCGGCCCGGCGCACGTCGGC